ATACGCCGCTTTTCATGGAATGGCACTACTGTGTCACATTGAAGGTTCCATGATGACCGCCGAATGAACACATCTACGGATGTTTCTAAATTCAAAATTTCACCATTTTCGTGTTATAATGTTGAATTCTGCTTAAGCCGGTGCTAGGGGGCGTGGACGGTAACTTGCACTTTCCATTACCGTCCATGAACAGGCCTAATCAAACCGAGCCTGCAACATTTTCAATTTTGTCGTGTTGGGCTTTCTTTATTCTGTATTTCTCTTTTTCTATGACGTCATAATCTAGTAGTAGTTTTATTTTTTCTCTGACTTGCCGTCGCATTTTGAAAGGTATTTTGCGATTTAGCTGTGCAATGGGCTTAACATATTTGTTGATATGTAGCTGTAGCTGGAGTTTTCCCAATCTTTGAAATCTGTCACTGAACTCTGATAAATTATTTTCCATGTTAAACTGTTTGGCTGCATGAATTTTCTTGACGGATTGTTGTCTCGTATATGTATTGTAATTCTTCTCCACATAGATGTAATAGGAAAGCTTTTTTTCTTTCGTCTTTTGTTTTTCCGGCTGCATGTTTATAATATTCAAAACGTTTGATGTAATTGTCCCATGAACTGATTAAGTTGGTACTTTGCCCAATAACTTTGAAAGGCTGTGGCGTTGGAAGTTTAAAAGATATCTTGAAATAATTTATATAAATCCTTGAAAATAGCCACAATAACGTTATCACTGAACTTATTATTAACAAGTCCTCTAGAATTAATTGAATTTGTGAAAAGTATTATCCAATCATCCTCGTCGTCAATGTAATGTCTGCTATATCATAATTAGTGGACAGGCATGGGTAGAGAGATAAAACAACGCAGCCGTACGGTTTCTAAATCTATTTACTAATGATCCTACAGAGAGGTGATGCCAGGTGAATTTATGCGGGGCTTATCAGCTAGTGGCTAATACTAGCTGACCAATAGCGAGTCAATATATTACAAATACACTTTTGAAATATGCTATAGTAGTAGATATATTTTCTTTATTTATGAACTAAGATGACACTCATAATCAGTATAGACAATATGTTTGCCATTTGCTATGAAGTAGCTAGTGTATTGAATGCAATTAACACATTTAATAATCAGTTGTGCTCTACACATAACATCACACATAACCCATATTTATAGTACATTAAGATATTGTACCATAAATATATCAAGAGTGTGATATAAGAATAACTCTGAGACTGTTGTTCTTCCAGTCCCACCCACCCCTCCATACCAATGGCAATACATGTATCATTTATGTAGTTTTATGTAAATATTTTTTAAATGAAACATTTTAGTATGAGTGTGAGCTTGTTTGTGTTAAAAGCTTAATTTGCTACTTTATTTCACATTAATTATAATCAAAATGTTTTAGAAAAAAGAAACACAATAAAACTGTTGTTTGATTTGTATAATTTTTGCTGCACATGTATGTTTGAAAGCTAACTTGTGTGAGTATAGCAGGTATTTCTCTTCAAATCTTGATAACATCATAATTGACCCTTCTATGAATCAAGTCATAGCATCTTGCCCCTCTAAAAAGCAGAGTTCTTCCAGCTACTCTTGATTGTAAATAAATTCAAAGTCACATAATTGCAATATCAAGCAATCAAAAGTTTTCCGTTCAATTACTGACATTTTACTTGCTTTCTCATAGTCTTTGTATGTTTGTTAAGGGCAGTGACATGATGCTTATTTTGAGGGCAGTGGCATGATGATTTTAACATTTTGTAAATATTCAAGTCATAAAAGAGCTCCTGATTACTAGTATATGTTTCTACAATAATTTGCTTTACATGTTATATGGGGAATATTACTTTGTATAACAATCTAAAGTCAAAATAAAAACTAGAACAAGAACAAAGAGATACACCTTAATTTATAAACCAAAAAGGAGAAGCTAGAAACAAACCAATATATGCTGATATTGAATCAAGAAGTATACATGTACTAGGGAAACAATCTTGAGTAAAAAAAGAAGACACTAGAAACAAAACATTTAAAATTGATAATTTGTATTTCTATTTCACTTAATCACGGTCGCTGATTTTACCTTACCTATTACCCAGCACATATGTAGTGTTCACGGTTCTCTTTTGTTTTTAAAGTTTTGGTTATATCTTCAAAATCAAATGCCAACTTGAACAATTTACATTACTTTCATATAGTCCGAAAATATGAAAAACAAGATCAACAAGGAAAGGCGGCGTTCAATGAACGCAACCCCCATATGACCCAGCAACAAGAACCAATGGCAAGGAGCCCAGGCGGACCCCAAACATAAAAAGGACAGGGCAACGACACGTTAATCATTAAATGATAAATAATTTGTAACTGATTAGGAATTCAAACAAAAATAATAATAGGCCCACAAAGGGGAAGGGGACAGGAGACCGGGGGAAGGGGGGCGAAGTATCACAATATTATCCATTCAAATCTTTCCACAACATAACTTTTTATAATACACAAAAGAGTATATGAGTCTCTGAAACATGTTTATCACTTTTTAAAGTCTATAAGAAGATGAATAACTGATTAAGCTTTCTAGACGTTGTTTTATTTCATGGCCTTAATCTAAGCCCAAATTAAATAGCTTTAATATTGTGCTCAATAACCTATTTATTGATTTGAAGTTCACGGTTGAATACATTTTGTTTTGTACAGTACAGAGAAATTGCCCTTTCTTGATGCATTGATGACATTAATTGGTTATCAATTAAAAACAGATATTTACTATAAACATGCTGATAGTAAGCAATACCTGTTACTTAATAATCGTCATCTAAAGCACGCCAATTTCACATCCTAGGCGACTTTGTACAATTGCATCGAATTGAAATATATTGCAACTCGGATTGATACATTTTTCAAGTTTCTGACTTCATTAAAATATCACCAGAGACTTTCAGAGCTTTGGCAATAGATTAGTCAGAATTACGAAGGCAAAAGTAAAAACGGACAATAAATGTATACCGTACGTGTCAGCACATTATCATAACTGTATGTAAATTTTCAAGGATATACAAGAAAATCTACCAATATAACGGAATGATGAAATGCTAAAAGGGATTGATGCATACGGTCAATCATTAATAGTGAAATATAACCAGCAAAACGAAAAAAAACCTTCTGGCCAGAGCGCGATTTTCCTCATCATAAAAAAAGAATCAAACATTAAGATGCAAAGTACTAAATGCGGTCTATATAAAAGAATATATAACATTTCAACAATGGCTGCGATTTAACTAAAATTCTCAGGAACATGTGGCATATAAAATATAATTAATGCACTAAAATGTAAAGGATGCTTAAAAGATTTCATTGGAGAACCACACATTTATTACCACACATATCGAGTAGCATTACTCAAACAACATATCCGAAATTCGGACAATGCATTGCTACCAGTCAGTCACCATAATACCATTTGAGCGAGAGATATCTTTCCGAAATTAAATATAATGCCAATCTATAAAACGCAAGACATTAAAAAAAGATTGAAAGAAAATGTATAAACAAGAGCAATGTTAACATGGCCATTCTCCGCCGCCGAATGTGTTTGTTCATTAGATGAATGTATATGTCGTAGAGCAGAATAATTCAATTTTAAGAGGTTTTTTTTTTTTTGTAATGAAAATTGATGGCTGAAGTGATTACAGATTTTTCTAACATATGTGAATACTGATGGCTGAAAATAACAAAAGGGCAATAACTGAAAAATAATGCAGGATGGGTTAGCATTATTGTGTTCTGTACTCCTCCTCAATTAGTTCTGCCCACTTATGGAGTTTCAAGTTGATACCTCAAATACTTTTTGAGATTTGCTCCGGACAAAAATGAGGGACGGAAGTACAGACGGAAAGGACGGAGACTATTTCTATATCCCCACCGCCTTTTCGCCTTTTCGGCGGGTGATAGATAATAAAAGTATTAAAACCAAAACTGAACTTAAAATAGCACTTATCTATGCTATACTTTCTATATTAAAACTCAAATATGTCCTTTCATACCGTAATACGAGTGACGTCCCTTTACGCTGTAATGACATCGTTACCAAGCTACGTTATTAACCTCAATATCAAGATGCCTTTAATGGGTGAAACCGGTAGATATTTTTCTTCGATTATTAGATTTACAATTTTGCTTATAAATAATTACAATGTAAATCGGAAAATGCATATTTGTTAAATAGTAAAGTCCTACTATATAATGTGATTGCACTTTCTAATAGTTCTGCCATGCAAACTTTATGATTCATTCTTCTAAATCAATACATTGTTATACTAATTAAACAAATTGCTGACAAGATATAGCATACATGGTTATATCTATATCGACAAGATTATATTTTCTTCTTTATCTTGCCAGAAACGTTCTTCACGAATTTATAAAAATGTAATTATTCTGCTGACAAAGCTCATGCAACAACAGCACTTTAATTCTAACATTTATTGACTTGTAATCTATTGAATATATAGTGATCTGTAGCAACAAAATGTTAAATTATAATATGAATTTATTACACGAATGGCCTAAAATTAAAACTAAAATATGTCAACATTTTGTGATGATCTTGATGATAATTCAAAATGAACAAAAGATATATATGATAAAAAGGTTATTATACACTTGACTGTACAATACGGGAATATATTTGGACTCATACACAGCTTGAAATGACATATTGGACTCGCCTATCAGCACGTCCAATATAACTTTTCAAGTTGTGTACGAGTCCAAATATATCCGCATTGTACAGTCAAATGTATAATTACCTATAATTATATTGATTCAGAATCAATATAAAGGGGAATTTTAGGTTAGAAAAACATCACAATGAAAAAGTCGCGCCATATCCTAAAAGTAAATAATAAACAGTAATCCATTTGTATGAAACAAATGCTATAAAAAGTATGGCGAATTACCTCGAACGATATTTTTTAATGTAATTGGCTTAAACTTACCTGCAATCTTCTTTTCTCAAGACTGGCGTTTCGTTTGCATGCATGTATATCTTCCACCGCTAAACCAACCTTTTATATGATATTCAATATATTTGTTAAACAAATTGAATGCAGTTTTATAGATAAACGTCACACAATTTACAAAACGAGAAATATACGGGTGTACATTTATGATAATCATAAAGTCATTTGAAATGTTGTTTAAACAATAATTGAACGTGTTTTGGTAGAAAACAAAACGTCCAATTAACCTGGTCATTTTGTGAAACAATGAATATGCATGCATCACTTTAGGGACGTGCATAGAATCTGTAGGAAAAAATATAGCCACTGACTTTGCTTCGTTATGGAAAAAACAAGAATCGCTGTAATGCGACAAAACCAGGTTTTCAAGGAATTAACAGGTCATAGTGAACTAAAGTTATTAAGGCAGAAGCTGAAATTTGTATGGCAAGCAAGTGACATTGACCTTGTTCCCAATATCTAAGTAGCAATCCCAAGCAGCATCTTCATATAAGCTACCAATTCAGCAAGTTTGGTTTCAATAAACCAAAGCAAACACAAGTAATTATGTGCATTGTTCTGTAAGCAACAGAAACCTATCATTGTTCACTAACGGCTTGATAGCAATCCAAAATTGCGTCCTGATATATGCTTCCTACATACAAAATTTGGTGTCAGTAGGTCTTGGCTAACTCAGGTTATGATGCGGACACGAAATTTCCTTCGATACTAACAGTGACATTGACCTTGCCTTGATCACAGACATCTGGGTAGCAATTTCGAGTTGCGTCTTGATAAAAGATACCCACAATCTAAATATGCTGTCAATAGGTCACAGGTAAGTCAAGTTATTATGTCGAACTGAATTTATATTTTCAGCAACAATGACCTTGATCTTAGTCAAAGTCACCCGGATATAAATAACGAGAAGCGTCTAGATATAAGCTACTCACATACTTAGTTTGGTGTCAATAGGTCAAATCAGCCTGAGGTTTTGAAGCAAACATTTTAATTTCTAATAAACGAAACAGTGACCCTTATCAAAGACTCTAGGGTAGCAATCCCAAGCTTTCTCTTGATATAAGCTACAGTTACATCAAGTTTAGCAACAATAGGCCAAAGCAAACTCAAGTTATTGAGCGGAAACATCACCACCGCCAATATCTGTATAATAGTACCCGATTTTCATTGAAAATAGAGAAAAACAGAATCCCTAAAGAAAGCCCAACACGGCAAAATTGAAAATATTGCAGACTCGGTTTGATTGAGCTCGTTCATAAGTAAAAACAATAATTACACATCATTTAAATATATATATGAAAATAAGAAAATAAATCAGCAAGCGAAGTATAGGAATAAAGTACCATTCAACTTTTTATAGTTTAAAACAAAATTGTATAATTCTTCATTTCTTATGGGGGAGAAACTGTTACACAAAAGATGGAGTTCTTCTGATAACTTTTGATAACTGTCACAGAATTCTTCGGAAAACTTTTGTATATACTATGGTTGTGCATGGAAACATGCAAAAAGGGACAATTGGGTCTTTAATCGTGAGTTTAGTAGAACAAAATGACCTTGTGAATTTGAAAATCGACAGACTTTCATTTTTGTGTCTGATCAACAGAATTTTAAATTTTACAAATTACTCATCAAACTTTACCTATACTTTGTTATTCAATTGTGTCGTTCAGTACCTCATCTTTTTATTAATAAATTGCAACTAGTTTGTTTGGTTTTACGACTCACAAACCCAGTTGAGGAGTAATAGCGCCGAAACAGGAAAGATGATTTTGGCATCGGATGTTATAAATATAGAGAAACACCAGAAATTCAAACCAACTCACCTGCTAGGTCTAAATTATGCATAGAATCTAGTTATTCGAATCCATTTAGTTGCCTCTTACGATCATACAGGGATTAACGGTGGCTCAAATTTAAATGCTGATACATCGACCCTTATAGGCAACAACTAAGAGTAATGTAAATGTGAACGTACCAGTAGATTAACGACCACTATTGGCATAAGCAACATAAAGATTGAAAAGAAAACGAAGCTCAGGAACTCAAAATTCACATATTCATCATATAATGTTGTCTTAAAATCAATCTCCCCTATCATCATAGAAATCGTTTTCACCAGGGAGCGTCCGAATGTACTAAACTGGTCCTAAAATGATAGTTAAATAAACATGATCACATTTTATCAGTCCAATTTAATAATTGAAATAATAAGTTATTAACAGTTGTATGTCTGATAAGCTTTTTGTTTGTGTGTGTTCGTTTTTCTTTACAAAAAAACAATAACATATAAAATTAATAACATGTTTATGATACCTGTTTTAATCTATTAAACATTTACTTGTTAAAGTCTGTAAAAGGGATATATGAAACACTTGCTTACATGCAAAATGTCCTTCATAATATAATAAATGTACATGTATTTGCTTTAAATAGAATATTCACGGAAAGTGATTTATACCCCCGCGACCATCACCTTAACTTTATGAAAATTAAGTTGTCTTAAACCAAATTTGAACTGAACCTATATTTCATGATGTGTCATATGTGTACCACCAAATGCCTTGCTGAAATAGTATAATCATCTACGAAGAACAGGATAGATATTGAATAAAAAGACATATAAGTCTTCTGAAGTCAAATTGAATAAACAGGACTTAATTATGTCAAGCTGACTACAAGAGCTTTTATACTTGAAAGAAACAGTCCATGTGATATTGCATTGATAGTTCAAGTTCAATGCTTTATACATTGTAGCCATTTAAAACGTTAAACAAGAGGGCCATGATGGCCCTAGATCGCTCACTGACTTATCAAACTCATCCAAACAATTACCTAGACAAGCATTCTGACCAAGTCTCATGACAGGTGAGTCAAAAATGTGACCACTACAGTGTTAACAAGGATTATCTATATTTGAGCAGTGCGACCTAGTTTTTTACCCAGGTGACACATATTCAAACTTGACCTAGAAATCATCAAAACAAACTTTCAGACCAATTTCCAGGATACTTGGATCAAAACAGTAGCAACTAGAGTGTTAACAAGATTTTTCTATTTTTAGCTCTGGTGACCTAGTTTCACATGCGATTTGGAACTCATCCAAGCAATTACCTAGACAAGCATCCTGACCAAGTTTGATGATAATTGAGTCGAAAATGTGACCACTAGAATGTTAACAAGGTTTTTCCATATTTGGGCGGTGTGACCTAGTTTTTCATCCAAGATGACCCATGTTCGATCTTGACTTAGAAATCATCAAAACAAACTTTCAGACCAATTAACAGAATATTTGGATCACAACAGTAGCCACTAGAGTGTTAACAAGATTTTTTTATTTTTAGCTCCTGTGACCTAGTTTTTCATCCGAGATGTCCCATGTTCAATTTATTCCCAGCAATGACCTAGACAAGTTTTCTGACCAAGTTTGATGACAATTGAGTCAAAATTGTGACCACTTGTCTTTCATCCGAGATGACCCATGTTCGAACTCATCCGAGCTATCACCTAGACAAGCATCTTGATCAAGTTTGATGATGATTGATGCAAAAATGTGACCGCTAGAGTGTTAACAAGGTTTTTCTATTTTTAACTCCGGTGACCTACTTTTTCATCCGAGATGACCCATGTTCAAACTCGTCCGAGCTATCACCTAGACAAACATCTTGACAAAGTTTGATGATGACTGATGCAAAAATGTGACCGCTAGAGTGTTAACAAGGTTTTTCTATTTTTAGCTCCGGTGACCTGCTTTTTCATCCGAGATAACCCATGTTCGAACTCATCCGAGCTATCACCTAGACAAGCATCTTGACCAAGTTTGATGATGATTGATGCAAAAATGTGACCGCTTGAGTGTTAACAAGGTTTTTTTATTTTTAGCTCCGGTGACCTACTTTTTCATCCGAGATGACCCATGTTCGACCACATCCAAGCTATCAACTAAATAAGCATTCTGACCAAGTTTAATGATGATTGATGCAAAAATGTGACCGCTAGAGTGTTAACAAGGTTTTTCTATTTATAGCTCCGGTGACCTAGTTTTTCATCCGAGATGACCCATATTCGAACTCATCCGAGCTATTATCTAAACAAGCATCCTGACAAAGTTTAATGATGATTGGGTCAAAAATGTGACCACTAGAGTGTTCACAATGTTTTTCTATTTTTAGCTCCTGGGACTTAGTTTTTCATCAGAGATGACCCATGTTCGAACTCATTCGAGCAATTGTCTAGACAAGCATTCTGACCAAGTTTGATGATGATTGCTTCAAAAATGTGACCACTAGAGTGTTCACAAGGTTTTTTCTATTTATAGCTCCTGTGACCTACTTTTTAATCCGAGAGGACCCATGTTCGAACTTATCCGAGCTATCACCTCGACAAACATCCTGACCAAGTTTGATGATCATTGGGTTAAAAATGTGACATCGAGAGTGTTCACAAGGTTTTTCTATTTTTAGCTCTTGTGACCTAGTTTTTCATCCGAGATGAACCATGTTCGAACTCATCCGAGCTTTCAACTAGATAAGCATCCTGACCAAGTTTGATGATGATTGAGGCAAAAATGCGAACGCTAGAGTGTTCACAAGCAATTGTGGACGTACGACGTACGACGGACGACGGACATTCACCGATCCTAAAAGCTCACCCTGAGCAAGCTCAGGTGAGCTAAAAATCAGAAACCATGCTTGCACAAAAGGCCATTAATGAATCAATGTATAATTAAGTCTCATCAACGTTTGTGTAAAAAGACAATTCATTCACAAATAACAAAACTATAGCCATGTTGTAAAAAAATATATATATCAAAGTAAAAAACGTTTTTGAAGCCACTTAAAATAAAATTCATTTCATTCATTCAACAACATATACAAATATATGTATAAAAACTAAAGCCATATGTCAGACTACCTATCAGTGTTATCAAGCTTAAAAGTTGCAATGTGATTTTGCATTGCTATTTCAGAGTTCAAATTTATATTTTTACTGGTTCCGAAGATTGGAAGTGACATTATTATAAAATTATAGCCAGTTACAACAACTACAACAAGAAAATCAATAACTATACATTAAAATCAAATGTCATTTGTGACTCATGATCAATGTAAGTATCTTCAACTTGAAGGTATATCCCTATCAATTGTTATTTCAAGTTTAATAGATACTTGGGCTATAGCCTTTGTTTGTACATATTAAAGTTAGAAATCACGCACATTTATATTAAACTTAAACTGTCAGAATAAGCCAACTTTACACACCCACACACACACCAAAGCGTGTAAGCGCCCCCAACTGAAACCACACGACTTTTGGACCCCGAATGAGGACACCACTATAGATGACTTCTACTAGCAAATGAATACCAGACTTAGCCGTTTTGAACCTTATACTGCCTATTGTGGTATAAACTTTTTATGATATCATTATTTTAAAAAATGTCAATTTACCACCAATTGAGGGCGTAACAAGCGAGGACCATGATTGTCAAGTGAGGACGGTTTACACACTTTCAATTGAGAACCTACCTTTCAAATGAGGACAAGTGACACACACTCTCACACTTCCTCAAATGAGGCCTGATATGTACCTGTAA